AAACGTCAGCTCTATTCATAACATTGTGAGAAAATTTGACTACCAGGTCTTTATCACATTGAACGAAATAGAATGGATACAAAACATACATAAATATATATATATATATATCACATCTACAAACTAAGTATTGCCTAGTCAACGCTGGTAAGGCGGAGGTATCTGAAATTTTGTATCTGCCTTTTGGAGCTTGCTCGTGACTCAAATATTGACATTGATTTATTAAATCAAGAATATTTGATATAACTGTATGCATGAGACTTTTCCTCACACAAGGCTAATTTACGAATCAGTTCGAACTAAAAATGTTCACTGAAATGAAACCAATCGCAGTTAATCTACCAAAAAAGACCCAAAGATAGGCTAAAGTAACCGAAATGGAAAATTTTGAGTGCTGAGCATGCCAATTCAGGTCATTATAGTCGATAATCTTACAAATATGTTGGGTATGGTCAAGTTTTCAACTTTCACCTTTTCCAACAAACCAAGCCTCACCTTCATTCTTTGTATAGGACCCAGCGACAAGTAAGCATGGGCAGCTTAAATACATCGGAACCCTGAAATCCACATCTTGTACCTTGTTCAGGGCGCATTCGGGATAAGAGAGAAATAAAAATTTCATTTTTTCTTTCATAAGTAGGCTTACAACTACCAGTCTCATTATCACCTTAACTGAAATAGGGTGAATAAACTTCATATATATCAATTATAATGACATTTAGCTAATCAAAACTGGAAAAACCCAACTGAAGTCGAAACTACAGTTAAGTTCAGTCTGAATGATAATTACTTTGGTGAAGCAAGGCAATGTGAATATGAAGCTCTTATTAAAAAATACCAATTAGTATAGGTTAAATACCAAAAGAATGTTCTCGAAACTCTTCCTTTTGCTCCCCTCAACTTAAGCGTCAGATCACCTGTGAGCCGATGTAAAAATGGTCTATTAACAAATTCATGTTTTATTTTTGCTGTTTTTTGTCGGACAGCATGATTTTCGAAAATCAACTTAAACCATCAACAGAGAAATATAATTAAGGCTTATTGCGAATTTTGTGTCCACATTAAAGCATTTCTACTTTGATTTATGTTGATACCAAGTCAGGACTTTCTTTTTAACAATTATTCTTTAATAGTTTTAGTTCAAGGAGCATAGACAGTCAAATCTTGAAAAGCAGTCACAAAATCAGTGGTTTGCATGACACCATATGGCCTCAAACAGAATCGCATCAAAAAGTAGTACATAACAGTAGTCTAATAAAATAAAATTAAATTTTACTACAATCCTCGTTCAAATTTTGTCAACTGGGCATTGTTTTCGAGGTGTTGGATTGTTGATACATTTTGTTGACGAAATAGGAAGCATAAAACCAGCAAAAGAATGTAAAACGTGTAAGCAATTCAAAACGGTGTTCTTGCCGAAAATTGAAAGAAAAACATGGCATATGCGTGCTATATACCGACTCACCGATATAACTGAAATTGGGCTTCGGATCGTCACGACAATACAGGCTCGGTGACGCAGTTCGCATGACAACAGGCTCCAGTTCGTCCGGTGGGAGTGCATAAAAGGGTCTCGGTGTTGCTGGGCCCGGAGAGCCGGACGAAGGTGGACAGTCGAGTCGACCGGCGGCGAAAGGTGACCAGACGGAGAGGGGTGGTGTGGACGGGGTTAAATTGGCTCGCGACGCGAAAATCGTGGAGAGAGAGGTTGCTTGGGCGAATGTGGCCCGGGGGGGCGGTGGAAGAGGCGATGACGGCGAGGCTGCGGAGAGAGCACAAAAGAGACTGGGGCTGATTGAGTGTCTGCAGGCCTCGGTTGTCTCAACAGCGTCGTCGAAATGGATTGGCGTTGTCGTGGCGCCGACGCCTCGGCTCGCCTCGGACATCGTCGGTTGCCAGGCCGGTCTGTCAGTGTGTCCTGGCGGCGAATTGTGCGCCGTCTGGAGGCCGGAATGGTGGCCGAGAGAGAGTGGCATTGGCAGAGGGAAGGGCAGTGGCGGGATGGAGAGCGGGAGCGGGAGAGGTAGATGGAGTGGGAAGGGTAAGGGGTGGGGCAGTCCCGAGGATAGGGGAAAGAGCATGTGATTGAGCAACGCCTGTCCCGGACCGAGTAAACCGGTCGTCAAGGGGTCACCAACGCCAAAACCGGTGACGGGGGCGGGGGGAGCACCGAGTGGATCTCTGGTGGGGGAACGGGTCGAGAGGTCGCCGGGATCGCTCGCTCTGGGATAGCAGAGCGAGGCGGTAGCGGCAGTTGCCGCCGTTGCCATGGTGAGTGCAGTTGTTTCGGCGGCGTGAGAGGGAAAGAGTCGGTCGAGGGGGCGGAACATGCGTGTGTTGAGGCGACAAGTGGGGACCGACTGGAGGCGAGTTGTTGTCGTCGTGACTGGCGGCGTCGGGTCGACACGACAAGCAGTTGAAGAGGTCGCGTGACCGGAGGGGACTGCGACAGTGACGTGTCTTGACGGACGCGCAGAATTTAACTGGCCCGACGTGAGGCGAGGCTGGCTTTTTGCTGCATTCCAACGACGACACAGACGCGCTCAGTACGTCCGAGTGTCTGACTTCAGGCACGACTGGCGCATAAGACTGGCATTCACAAAGGCAGCGACGCTCGCAGTCAGGCCTGGCCGCCAATCAGCGCTCGCCTCGCAAGCCTCTTGCCGGTTACGCCAATCGCGCAGCTGTCGGATTGGCTATAAAATAGTCTGCGCTGGAAGCCCTCCTTCTGATTGGCGAATTGGCCCAGGAGCTGAGTCTTTCGCAGTTTGGCCAAACGCCCCGACAAGCACAAGCCTTTTTGCCTCAAAAGTATCGATAATAAGTATTGAGCACACTTGGCCAAAACACAACCATTTTCAAGATCCCAATCACATTTCAATAAGCATAGCCCTGCATCTTGAGTCAGGCGGATGGAGCATATATTTAAAATAAAAAAAGTTCTTACAAATTCTTTAAGTGATCGCAATCACCCTCATTTGTACGAATTGTATTCATCCTGTATCATTTAGGATAATTAAAGGACTGGCAATTGAATTAACCCACATTTATGTGGGTAGAAAATACGTTTCCAATGAAGTTCACATAGCCTTGTTTTTCCAAAAGGTGTTCTCCTCCAGGCTGAAGTGGGCTACAGTTCCAAACTCGCCTAGACCTTTTCAACACTCACAGCGGGACTCGAATCGCAACAGTGCAGCGTATGATCTCGACACGTTAACCACTCTGCCACATTGTCACGAGTCCCAGGGCAAATGTGACTTTCAAGGAAGGCCAGGCATTTTCATATATCACTTTCTGTACTGGGTTTGTCGATGAAGCAACGTTGTACTGGCTATAGTAATCAATTACGTTACATATTTTTCCTTTGATTACCAGTCCCTGTATCAAACTAAACGAAAGAGAATGAATACATCTCATGTATCATGAACTAGTAGTCATGGAAGTCTACTTATAAACACTAATTTATATTTGTTATTTTTCAGCGTTTCAATTTAAAATTTGTATCAAGTTTACTCGTCCTTTTGTTCTGAGCTAATTGAAATTTGTGCATGAGATTAATATATGATTGCAGATATTTACTTTATTTACCTTTTCTTAATTAAAGCTTCACAAACTGGACACAAATACAGAGTAATTGGTTTATTGGCTTTAGTCTGTTTGCATCTATCGATAGGAATTTGAGGTTGGATTCTTTCTTTTGTTTTAGTAACTAAACAAGTATGCTGTGTTTGTTGAGCAAGTTTTAGATGTAATTATGCTTGGTTTAACAACTTAATAAGCCCTTTTTGATACAAATTAGTGGAAAACTATTAGTATATTTATGCTTTCCCGTTGTGACGTTGTCTGTCAGGATGGGAGGGACGACTTTGGGTCTATACTATCTCGTTTTCCGGTGAAGTCTACCCTCAAATCCCTTCCATCCAACCGTTGCTTCGAAATTTTAAGTCGAGTAGCACTAGTAATAGATGCCGTTTGTCTAACACACAATTTACCATAAACTTGTTAAATGTATTATGAA